TGATGAACCAGTCTTTCCTTCCAGACATATGTGATGAACATCCTGAATCCAAGTACCATTGGTCCTTGAATCTATCTTCATCTCTTGTTGTGATCATCAGCATCATCTCTTCTTCTTCTTCATGTTTTGCAAGCTTTGCATCACTTTCTTGATTCTTTCGTTTTTCTGGATAATCACTCGAATAGTGACCATACTTCTGACAATTATAACATTGAATGTGACTCTTATCGGGTTTTCGACCACCGCCTCTTCCTCTATTTGCAACACCACCTCTTTGGTTGCCTTGGTATGGTCTTCTTTGATTCGACACGTTTCCTTCAATCTGGTTTCCTCTACCATTCGATTTGTTGTATCCACCTCTACCTCTGTCGAAATACTTTCCTTTGCCTTTGGTTTCTTTTGCTGAATCTTCCTGTAAGGCCACATCACTCTTCGATTTTCCTGCAGCTCTTTCGTTCATTCTTTGTTCATGATATTCAAGCGTCCCTTGAAGCTCTTCCTTTGTCAATTTCGAAAAGTCTTTCCCCTCTTCTATCGCCGCCACTATGTGGTCGAACTTAGGAGCTAAAGATCTCAAGATCTTCGACACAACAACTCTTGTTGTTAACGCTTCTCCACATATCTTGATTTGATTTACTAGTTTTGTAACTCTAGTGAAGAAATCAGATATGCTTTCACTATCTTCCATCTGAAGCAATTCATAGGTCCTTTTGTGAGTTTGTAACCTCACTTCTTTCACGTTCTCAGCGCCTCCAAAAGATTTCTCAAGGATTTCCCAAGCTTCTTTTGCAGATTCTGAATCACTAACCTTTTCGAAATTGTCTGGGCTGACACATTGATGAATTATAAATAATGCTTTATAACTCAGCTTCTCAGATTCTATGTATTTCTTCTTTTCTTCTTCTGAAGCGTTTTCTCCAAGCGCTTCGACTCCATCTTTTACAAGGTCCCAAAGACCTTGACACCTAAATAATACTTTCATCTGTTTGCACCAATTCTCATAGTTATCAACTTTCAGAATTGGTAGGGTTGCTGGATAATTTGCATTCCCATAACTTGTCATCGTGAATTCTTCAATCGTTCTTGATTGATACTTCCCTTGAATCGAAACAAAAGCTCTTGATACCAGATGTTGGAAATCCACCAAAGTCTATGATGAATTTCAACCACAATGACAATTTAATTATGAGACAAACAAAGAAAAGAAGACAAGACAAATAATTTCTGCAGAGTTTCTCTCTGCTCACAAACTGTGAAAACTTTCTTATTCACTTTGCAACTACAAAATACTGTGATTAACTTGCTTGACTTGCTTACAAAAAATAGGGGTTACTCCCTCTATTTATAACTGAGCTTACACCCTAAGCCCAAAGCCCAAAATATCTTTTTGTTACTAAATCGAATCTAATTTATTCTAGACTTAAATCAAATCTATTTAAATCTAAAATAAATCAAATATTTTCGACACATAGTTTCGACACATTGAATTACAATTTAATAGATAGTGCCTAGGAAAAATATAGACTGTTGGTTTATGAGTACATGGAAACTGGTTCTTTAGCCGAAAATCTATCATCTAACAAACTTGATTGGAGTCAAAGGGACAAAATTGCTTTAGGAATAGCTAGAGTTTTAGCATATCTACATGAATAATGTTTGGAGTGGAATTTACATTGTGATATAAAGTCACAAAAAATATTTTTCAATGCAAACTTTCTACCCAAGATAGTTGATTTTGGATTGTCTAATCTACAAAGTAGAAACAATTTCAATAATTTAAGTGTATCTACGATTTAAGGAACAAGAGGGTATATGGCACCTGAATGTATTTTCAACTTGCCAATAACATCAAAAGTTGATGTTTATAGTTATGAAATTATTTTGTTGGAGATGATAACATGTAAGAGCCCAACATCAGGTTTCAAAGTTGTGAATGGTGAAAAGGAAAGTGTTGGGAGGTTGGTTACTTGGGTGAGAGAAAAAAAGAGGCAGTAGTATTTGTTGGTTCACTATAAAAGAATCAGTTATTCACTACGTGATTTTCATACCACAAACATAAATATCACGTCACAAAAAGAAATTCGACGTGAACAAAACACGCTGCATGACCGCTTGTCGTAATTCATTGCCACGAGAAAATCACATTGCAAATTTGTGGTATAAAATTCACATCGCAACTTTTTAAAATAAATTTCACCTACTTTTACTTAAACTGTTGTGGGTCAATGTTAACTAGTTAGTCATGTGATATTCACGCCACAAAATTGATATTAGTGACGTGAAAAATATGTGTCAGAATTTTGCCACATAATTTCCATATAGTAGAATAGTTTTTTAATTAAAAAAATAAAATTATAAATAATTAATAAAATAACAAAACTTAGGTATAATTCTTTATGTGTGTTTCTTACTATTTTCCAATGAAAATATAACTAATATACTTAAATATCATTTAAGAAGTGAAAATATGAACAATTTGCATATGTGTAAGAGGAAATTATACACTTGTCATATTTTCATTAGAAAATAGTAAGAACCACACCTAAAGAATTGTATCTAAGTTTTGTCTTTAATAAAATACAAATAATAATAATTAACATAATAATTAATTAATATAAAAATAAAAAAGTTAATAATTAAAATTAATAATAAAATAAAAAAATTAAAATTATGTTCACTAAACAAAACATTTATTCGCCTTGTGATATTCACGTCATAAACATAAATAACAATTAAAAAATCAATCATCGCCAAATAAATCGTCTTCTACATTTTCATCCTCCTCATCTACCGCATCTTGGCCACCAACTCCTCTATTTATACCAAACTCTTAATTTCCATCCATTGAACCATGGTTCGTTTGTGAGAACATAAATTATTGCATTTTCACCTTAACTCAAATTGTCTCTTCTTCATTTTCTCAATTTCGGCCTTTAGCGCCGCCTCACGTTTCGCTGAATCACATCTTGCCTCAATTATAATCAGTTGTCTCACTGTTTCCATCATTTCGGGTGTCAATTCTAGTGGACGTGACGATCCTTCACCACATGCAACTCTTTGAAATAAAGTTATAATACCCTTTTCTATTTGTCGACAAAAGGTCCCACAAAAAACCACTCATTAGCTCTCTTTCCGCCAGATACTAAACTCTAAATATAAAGACCCACACTTGGATCCATCGTATTTGAACCTATCAGAGTATACTGAGGATTTTCAACTACAAATTATGTGAGCAATCTCTGATACGCCTCCTACACATACATAAAAAATTAAATGAAATATAGTTTAAACAATTTAGTTATATACAAGAATTAAATTAAATAATGAAATATAAGCAACTTACTAAAATTCTTCTGAAACATTCATCAACAAACTCCCCCAATTGTTTGGTACGAGTCTTCACAAACAACTCATTAATTTGTGGGGTCTCTCATCTTCCTTAGCCTAATTAAAATATACACTAATTAAAAATAGGGTTAATACCTATTTTCACCCCTGACATATGGGGTGTATTTGAAAAACCCCCCTGCCAAAAAAAAGTTCCAATTGTTACCTTGACAAATTTTAAAAGTTTCAGTTTTTACCTTGAGGATGCCACATCACCTAAAAGGCTGATGTGGCTTATATTTTTGTTACATTTGTAAGTTTTTGTTATGCCATGTCACACAATACCAAATAAAATGTCCAGAATTCCCTTTTCTTAAAATCCCAAATTATTTGGCAAATGTTATGTTTCAATTCAGACCCTCCAAATTAGGGCGCAGCCATCTTCATCTCAGCAACCCAACTTTTGCTTTCCTCTTCATCTTTAAGTTTTCTTTGATTTCATAAACATGAGTCAACCAAATTGTTCTACTTTAAGCTTATCTTCAAATGGTAGAGTAACTCCCAAATGCGGCCACAATGTCTCCATGAAGTTATTTGTTTCAAAATCGGTTGCAAATCCCGGGAGAAAATACTGGAAGTGTAAGTTCTGGGGTAAAGGAGATGACTGCAACGCATTTGTTTGGGATGATGAATTTTCTGATGATTTCGGTGATAACGGCCATTCAGATGTAGTTTCAGTAGAACTGATGAGCAAACTGGAGAGATATATCGCACTGAAGATGGAAGCCATGGAGAAAAAAATGGATGAGTTAAAAAAGAAGCTGAATTATGTTTTAGTTGGGTTTATTTGTCTTTTGGTTCATTTCTTACTTAGTTCATGTAAAAATTCATGAAGTTGTGGCTTATGTTCTAGGAAGTTGTAACCTATGTAAAATTTAGTTCATGAATTATATTTCTTTGTTATGGAATATGGAATATATTACTCTCATGAGTTTTGGTTAGTTGAGTTATGGAATATGGAATATATTTCTTTCTTATGGTTTCTTATGGAATATATTTGCTTAAGTCTGTTCTGATATATTGTTAAGTAAAACTGTTTTGGAATATTTTGGAAATCTGTTCTGATATTTTGGAAATCTGTTCTTAAGCAATTCTGTTGAGTAATTTTGTTAAACAAAATCTGTTGTTAAGCAAATCTGTTGTTAAGTAATTTTGTTCTTAAGCAAATCTGTTGTACAAAATGACAATAACATAGTTAAGCCAATCTGTTGTGATACATAGTCAAGCAAATCTGTTGTACAAAATGACTTTAACATTGTTAAGCAAATCTGTTGTGATACATAGTCAAGCAAATCTGTTGTACAAAATGACTTTAACATTGTTAAGCAAATCTGTTGTGATACATAGTCAAGCAAATCTGTTGTACAAAATGACTTTAACATTGTTAAGCAAATCTGTTGTGATACATAGTCAAGTACATCTGTGATACAAAATGACTTTAACATTGTCAAGCAAATCTGTTGTGATACATAGTCAAGTACATCTGTGATACAAAATGACAATAACATGATACATAACTTAAGCCAAGCCTGTTCTGATAATAAGTCAAAGTAACAAAATGACACAGGAAACTTTTAAATTGAATTTTACAAAATAGCACACTATGTGCACAACTACTGATCAATGCCCTTCCTCTTCTTCCTTGATATCTTCTTTGAGGTACTACCACCAGTTTCTTCACCTATGGTCAAAGGTGCATCAGGTGTTGATCCAGGCCCACCATGTCTTTTGGCATTCCTCACTTCCTTCAATCTTCCACTGACTCTCTTTCTTGATCGCTTCCAAGGCACGGCCACGGCCTTTTTCCTAGCTGAAGGTTTTTTGACATTAGTAGCAGCAGGGTCAGGTTGCATTGCAGCAGGTTGTGAATCATGTGTTGGGGGAGGTTGCATTGCAGCAGGTTGTGATTCATGTGTTGGGGGAGGTTGCATAGCAGTAGGTTGTGTGGGATTGTCAACATGTGATTGTTGTTCTTCATAAAGATCCATCATATTATTCAGCAATGCATCCATCTCTGGGCCTTCATCCACAGTTCCACCTCCAGTTTCAGTTGTATCAACATTTGCATCCATCTCTGGGCCTTCATCCACAGTTCCACCTCCAATTGCAGTTGTATCAACATTTGCATCCATCTCTGGGTCTTCATCCACAGTTCCACCTCTAGTTGCAGTTGTATCAACATTTGCATCCATCTCTGGGTCTTCATCCACAGTTCCACCTCCAGTTGCAGTTGTATCAACATTTGCATCCATCTCTGGGCCTTCATCCACAGTCCCATCAAATTTTTTTGACACTTTGGTCCTGGGTGTCTTTCTCTGCATTATTCAGAAACAGATATAAATAAAGACATTTCAATATGCTTAACACAATATTATTCAGTAACAGATTCATGAACACAATACCTTTCTCTTTAGTGCATTAGGATCTTGCTCCTTAGCTTGACACTTCCTAGAATTATGGCCAAATTTGTCACAATGCGTGCATCTATATGCTACACCTACCCTCCTCATCCTTGAACCATTCTCATCCAACTCTCTAAACCTCAGTTTCTTAGGCCTTCCAGGTCCCTTCTTGTATTGTGGTGGCAACAATTCTTCAGCATCCATAGTTGGCCACATGTCCATGCCATTTATTGGACTAACATTGTTTTCATAACATGCCCTGTAAGCTTCTCTCATGTAACAAGGGTCAACATATTTCTCAAGATCTAAGTTTTGATACTGTAATGCAGAAACAACATGCCTACAAGGTACGCCCACAAGATCCCAAAAACAACAAGTACAGGTTTTTTCCCCAATATCAACAACAAACTGCAATCCATTATATGGGTGATGGACTTGCCACAAATCACCACTGCTCCATGTAGGCAGCCATTCTCCACTAAGATATGTTTCCTTATCAAGCCTTTTCCTAGGATTAGGCATGACATTATGCTTCCACTTATCAAGCTTAACAACACTATTAGAAATCCTATTCATCACGTAGTTCCTAATCCATTCTACCATAGTGAGTATTGGCTTATCCCTAGCTGGTAATATTGTACTATTGAAAGATTCACTCAAGTTATTCATCAAAACATCACACTTAGGGTAAAATGAAAATGAATGCTTACACCATAGTTTTGTTGGCACTCCCATCAGCCATTCCCATGCCTTCTTATCAATTTGTTTAAGCTGATTCATCTTCTTCTCCCAAGCCTGGAAGTAAGTAGCCTTTGTATCCCCCAATAACAGGTCTCTAATGGCAGCTCCCCCTCCAAATTTCTTCTTGAAATTTGCATACAGGTGTCTGAGGCAGACCCTGTGTTCAACTTGCTGATGCATTTCCTCAAAGACACTAACAAGTCCCTAAAAACAGCAAGACAACAGAAAAAAGCATGTACATTAGCAACTTATATATTCCTCATAAATGTTGAACATTAGCAACAGAACAAGGCATGTAACATTAGCAGTAGGTTCTGATAAATGTTGAACATTAGCACCAGAATTAATGCTACAGTTCTATGGTACAGAATTAATACTTCAGTTCTATGGTACAGAATTAATGCATACTTCAGTACCAGAATTAGTGCATCCTTCAGTACCAGAATTAATGCATACAAGATTAGTGCATACAGAATTAGTGCATACAAAATTAGTGCACTTTGTATAAACCAGAATTAATGCATACAGAATTAATGCATACAGAATTAGTGCATACAGAATTAGTGTACTTTGTATAAACCAGAATTAATGCATACAGAATTAATGCATACAGAATTAGTGCATACAGAATTAGTGCACTTTGTATAAACCAGAACTATGGCACAAAGGTAAGATATTTCATGAAGAACTTCAGTACCAGAATTAAGTAGTGCATATAGGGAAATAAACCAGAAATATGCAACTAAACCAGAACTATGCAAATAAACCAGAATTAGTGCACTTTGTATAAACCAGAACTATATCACAAAGGTAATAGTGCATATTAGTGCAGAATTAGACATACTTCAGTACCAGAATTAAGACATACTACAGTAGCAGAATTAGTGCATATTAGTGCAGAATTAGTGCATGTTTCATAAATGTGAATAACAAAGGTAATTAGTGCATATTTGTACCTTTTGTTGGTCTGAAATAAAAACATACTTTCTCTCTTCTCCAATGTCTTCCATTAGCAATTGCATAAACCATCTCCAGCTTTCTTTTGTCTCAGTCTCCACCACACCAAATGCCAAAGGATAATATTGGTCATTCGGGTCCCTTGCTACAACAATTAACAACTGACCTCCATATTGTGTCTTAAGATGACACCCATCTACCCCTATAAATGGTCTACAACCCTTGGTAAACCCTTTCTTGCATCCATCAAAACAGAAGTAAAATCTACCAAATCTTAGTGGTAGTGTTGGATGTGGTCTCTCAGTAATTAGTTTGACAGTGTTCCCAGCACATTGTTTTCTCAACTCAGCTGCATATCTCCATAACATGTTATACTGTTCCTTTGCATCACCTTCAATTATTTCTTCAGCCATAGCTTTGGCTCTCCAAGCTTTCCCTTTGGTAATGCCCACTGAATATTTCTGTCTAAGCTCAGACATAATTTCAGACAGTTTAACTTTCCCTTGTGACTTCCTCTTTTCAACCACTAACTTAGAGACCCACTTGGAATTGGCAGACTTGTTATTTAATACCCTTGCACATGTGTGGGTCTCCACCCAAGTCTTTATCTGGTAAGTGAGGCTACCTCCCACTTTGCTACACAATGCCAAAAACCCACATTTACTCTTACACTCAACCCTAACCCTACAGCTCTCATTCTTAACAAACCTTATTTCTCTACCATTTAATACTAACCAATCCCTGATAGCATCTTTAAATTCAGAAAGAGAAATGAACTCCATACCTAATTTGAATTGAAAGTCTTTGTTAAGCAGCTCTGATCTGAACTTCTCATACTTTGGCTTGGAAGGTTTGTCATTCATGTCACTTTCATCAGCATCTGAACTTTCAAGTTCCTCACTAGCATAATCCACATCTTCACATTTCCTTGTAGCCCTCTTTGAACAAGATCCTAAGACACTTTTGGGCACCAAAACACTTACCTTGTCCCTTTTGCTCTTTTCTTTCATCTTTTTGGGATCCTTGGATGCACAACGCTTGAATCTCAATGATTTCCCTTCGATCTCCACCCTATTCCCACTAAATGGAACAGCTACCTCCACTTGTTCAAATTGCTCTTCTTCTACGTCAATTACTCTTTCCTCTTCACTGTCATTGAAACATTGGCTTGCATCAACATAGTCACCAGTACTATCATCTCCACTAGAGGTGCTGAAGTCATCAACATTAGGTACCAGAACCTTGGTCATCATGTATTCTACACTGTGCTTTACCCAAAGATCGCCGTGAACTCTACAAGACATACAATGCTTAGCAACTTCTACAGCTCCTGCATCATCAACAACATTTGTAAACCCTTCATCTGTTTGCGGAATCTTTCTCCATAGCCTAAAACCTTCATAACCCCAATCTTTAACCAGACTAACAGCTTCAAAAAAGCTCCATTTATCTTCGTCCTGACCTTCAACAGTAGTCTCACTACCTCCTCTATAATACGTATGGCCGTCTTGCACGAAACTTCCCCCATGATGAAACACTAAATTAAACACACCCATTTGCAAGGATGAAGAACCCTAATCGCAGGGTCTGAATTGAAACTGGCTTTTTTTGTAAAATAATTTTGCAAACAAATGAAGATGGATGGCTGCGCCCTAATTTGGAGGGTCTGAATTGAAACATAACATTTGCCAAATAATTTGGGATTTTAAGAAAAGGGTATTCTGGACATTTTATTTGGTATTGTGTGACATGGTATAACAAAAACTTACAAATGTAACAAAAATATAAGCCACATCAGCCTTTTAGGTGATATGGCATCCTCAAGGTAAAAACTGAAACTTTTAAAATTTGTCAAGGTAACAATTGGAACTTTTTTTTTGGCAGGGGGGTTTTTCAAATACACCCCATATGTCAGGGGTGAAAATAGGTATTAACCCTTAAAATATATAATAAATCAAAATATTTGTGTCGGGTGGTGTTGAAGTAGATAAGTCTTCCAATTAAACTCCTATGTGATGGTATGTCTTCATATGGATCAACATTATCATTGCACAATTTGATGGTTGAATCAGATGGAGTAGAGATTGGTTTTGAGCCAAGCAGTCCTAAATCTGCAAGAATATCAATACAATATTTTCTTTAGCAAAGTGAAATGCCAAGTTTAGAATAAGTCACTTCTAATCCTACAAAATATTTGAGAATGTCAATATCCTTTATTTTGAAAGCCTGATTGAGAGATGCTTTAATGGATTCAAATTTAAAAAGAGAATTTCCTATTAAGGTCACATCATCAACATAGATAAGAAGAATTGTGAATTCTGAGTTCTTGCTTTTGACAAATAGTGAATAACCAAATGAAATTTGTTTGTAGCAATGTTCGATAAGGAGATATGTTAACTTATCATACCATTATCTACTGGTCTCTTTAAGGTCGTATAAAGACTTAATCAACTTGCATACTTGGTTTGAATTGGAGGATATAACACCAAGAGGAATTATCATATAAAAATTCTCATGTAAAAAGACATTATTGACATCATGTTGATGCAAATGCCACCTATGAATTGATGCAAGAGCTAGTATAACTTTGATTATGGTTATCTTTGCAATAAGTGAGTAAGTATCAAAATAATCCAATCCCTCTATGTGATTATAATCCTTTGGCAACTAATCTAGTCTTGAATCTTGCAATATTCTCATTTGAATTATGTTTAATCTTATATATCTATGTACACCCTATTGGTTTAATGTTGGGTGAAAGATCAATATTTTATCAAGTACTAGTTTTATCAAGAGCATATAGCTCAGCTTTCATAGCTTGTTTCTAACAATCAAATTTGCTTGCCTCGTTGTATGACCTTGGTTCAGTTTGTGTGGTTGTAGAAAGACTATTATGAAAATAAGAATGAGACAATTAAGAATATAAGAAATAATTATATAAAGGATAGAAAGTACCTAATGAATATTGATTTGGTGAATCATTGAAGGAAGCACATTGTTGTACCCCAAAATTTGCCCTCCCATATTTCTCAAAACATTTCAAGAAAATTCACAAGTCCAAGCCGGCGCATTATATTCAGGTGTTCTTTCACCAAGATATCTCTGATAACATATTCTCAAATTCAGGTTCGGCTCAAGAGTCAATTCTTTAAAGAAGGTATCCGAATGTGTGAGTTTTCTTGAAGAAATATAGTTAAAAAGTGTGCTGAAAGTGCAGTTTTTACGCGCTAAAAAATTCATAACTTGAAGATCGTGGCTCGTATTGAACCCGTTCTGGTGGCCAAAATTCCGTCTTGATATTATCTACGTTTTCATCTCTCACGGCTGGAAGCCAATTTCGATCAGAAGGTCTTCAAAAATGTGGATTTATCAAGTATTTTTGCACAGAAAATTTGTGACAGAAGTTTATTTGCGTCATGTTCAGAAAATCATAAATTGGTCGATTTTCATCGTATCGAGCTGGTTCCGGCGCCAAAATTTCACATATTGAGTTGGCTACATTTTCACAGAAGGTATTGAGTTCAAACGGTATTCAAAAGGCCTTCGTTTTTTGCTCAGAGTGCGTGACATGCTCAAAATCCTGAATGCTGAATATTATTTCAGTTGGGCCGAAACTTCGAAAATTCATAACTCGGTCAATTTTTATCGGATTGGACTCATATTTTTACACAAGGTCACTGACTCATAGATCTACAACTTTGCTTCAAAAGTCGAGACCGGATTATGCTCCGATCAATACCAGTTTTTTATTGAAGAACGTGTCAGAGTCGACATTGGAGCCCAAAATAAGTTTGTCTGAGCTGAAACTTCAAAAATTCATAACTAATTCACCGTTTATCCGATTGAGCCGATTTTCGGACAGGAGTTAGTTATCGATGTCGGCTACATTTTGTCTTCACATTTCAACTTCAAAAATTGCACTTAAGTCCCTGCGATTTAGCCTGGAAGGTGACGAACTCAAGTAAACATTGGAGGCCCAATTGCACATTCAAAGCCCATTTTCTTTACCCTAATTTCCATTATATAATCACCTTCTTTTCACACAAACCAGGGAGGAGAAAAAAGAGAAAAAAAACCTTGCCACAACACTGTTAGAATATCAAATTCTTTCAAGAACCCTAAAACCTTGAAATCTTTATTACAAATCCCTCTCTCACTACAAACAAGCCATCACAGTTACAAACCAACACCTCACTACTTCTTCAGTAAGGATAAGGCTGGCCTGATCTCCATGATCCTAATTTTCCAGTAAGGCATAAAAGCATTCTGGTCACTAATTTTCCAGTAAGGGTAAGATTGATTTGATCTCCATGATCAAAAGGGTATAATCATTCATACATGCCATATTGTGCCTAAACATTAAATTTCTTCATATATTGGCTTTATTTGCATTTTATGATTTTATTTAATGTGTTCGTGAGATTCAACACTGCAGATTTAGACAGGATCCCATGCAGGTTCATTAAGGAACGTTGAGGCCAAAAGTCAAATGGCCAAAAGCCAAAAGCCAAATGGCCAAAACAGAACATTTTACACATGACCCCAATACGTGGTGAGACAGACATCCTGAGAAGATTAAGGAACGTTGAGGCCAGAACACAAATGGCCAAAAGCCAAAAGGCAAATGGCCAAAGTAGAACAACTTATGCATGAAACTCAATCTAATGGCCAAAGAATGCAGACCACGGTACTCAGGAGTCAATACTTCAAAAAAACCTCCCCTTGGGCCAGACACCCCCTATGGTTTGCTCAATTTTTAATTTTTATTTGTTTTTCCTTTTTATTCTTTTAATTGTTTTTTTAATTGTTTTCTTTTAATTCCATAAAATAATTTTCATAATAAATATAAAATACAGAAAAATCAAAAAAATGTTTATTTTATTAATATTAATTTTACTATTATTATTTTTGTAAATAAACTTTAAACAATTAATTAGATTAATTTAGGTTTCAAAACTTTAATATTTTTCTTAATAAATTAAAGGCAAAATACTCATTTTGGTCCCTTAACTATACCATTGGGTTCACATTGGTCCCTTAATTTTTTTTCGGGTCATTTTGGTCCCTTAACTTTCAAAATGTTTCATTTTAGTCCTTTTTGTCTAATTAGCGACAGATTTAGCAACGTATTTCAAAGTTTTTCCGTCGCTAATTAGACAAAAAATGACTAAAATGAAACTTTTTGAAAGTTAAGGGACCAAAATGACACGAAAAAAAGTTAAGGGACCAAAGTGAACCCAAGGGTATAGTTAAGGGACCAAAATGAGTATTTTGCCTAAATTAAATATGTAGAAATTAGGGTTTTTAACTTTTTCATCATTTTTTTTTTAATAAATAATTTTCTCATCATTATTATTATTATTAATTACTAATTTATTTTGTAAATAAACATGTACATAAATTCTTTAGTAAATTAAGTTAAACTTTAACATTTTTCTCAAATAATTAAAAATAACTTAGAATTAGGGTTTCTTTTAATTTTAATTTTAATTTTCTTATTTCATAAATACAAAAAAACCTAAAAAACACTTCTTTTATTTCAATAAATAATTAATTAATTTTTAATTTCAATTTAACTTCAAAAGGGTCCAACGCCCTCGTTTCTAATTTTTATTCAATTCGCATATTTATTTCTTTTTCTTTTAATTATTTATGTACCTCTCCCAAAGCCGTGTAATATATTTCTCGCACTTTTACTTTACTTTATTTCTTTATTTTTCTGTCAAATCGGGTTCTGGAAATTTTGGCGATGTGGACCCGCGCCTTTGTAATAGTCTAGAACTTTTAATTTCCGCATCTTTTTTAACTGCTAATAAAATGCATGCAAGAATGAATGTCTAAATAAAAACAAACGCATAGATCACTTTGACATGAACAAGATAAATAAATGAATCTGACACACAAATCACACACCACCCCTAGGGTACGCCTCACTGTTGCCTTGCCTCGAAAGGTGATCGTCGAGTAGAAGATGTTTTAGTAAGTCCTCATGATCCGGGAACCTGGCATGAGGGTAGCTTCTAAGGTATCTTCCCATTACTCCGGTGATCACAATGTTGCCTTGTCCCTCGAAACGTGGTCGCCGACTATAGGACGTCTTAGTGAGTCCTTATGTCCCATTGATCTAGTTGCCTCAAAACAAGTTGCCTCGGAATAGTTGCCTCAGAATAAAAGATCAATGGCATAAGGGTAGCTTCTAAGGTGTCTTACCTTTGCTCGGTGACCACCATGTCCCGAACCCTCGAATTGACCCGAACACCTCCAATGGTGGTGCTACCTACCTCTCAATGGTGGGATGGCACTACTTTAAGGACATTTACACAGACGAATTCCTTAGGGTAGGTAGATTCTCGTAGATACTTGCTCTAATTTCAAAACAAATCAAAAAATACTTTTCACACCGACACCTTTTCAAAAAGCTTTCGAAAGCAACTTTTCAAACACTCTTGAGGACTGATACAAGAGTCGAACTGAAATTTTCAAAGAAACCTTTTTAAAACCCACAGTTGAAAAGCAAACAAACCATTTTGAAAACACAAGTGAGCTAGTATCTAAG